CTATCGCCGCATTGCTGGCGTTCCATTAGCAAGCGCTTCGGGTCGAGAGTACTCTATGAATGCCTGGAAGATATGTCTTAGGAATGGCTGAGGACTAGTTCATGACGAAGGATAAGGAGTACAGACGAGCGCGTGAAACTGAGCCAAAAAAAACCTAAGACATCTTGACAGAATTATAATAATGTGTATTGCATGTAGTGCATGCTGCATCATTACGCGCACGCGTACACTATACACTTTTTATGGGTATTGATCGTAAGGTGCGAATGCAAACGGGAGCGGCACGTACGCGAACATCCCACACGTCCCAGTGCAATTTCCCACCACATGCACATCCTAACCTTCCCGTGACTAAGTGTTAAGACTTCAAATGGAACAAGAGTATTTCAAAGCTTATCAAGCAGCTTAAAATTGCAATACCCAAAACGTTAACTTTTTCACCTTTGGAAAAAATCGCGCACACACTTCGATAAATTTTAAATCGCATTCTTAACAGATGTACAATTTAAGTCATGCAAAAAAAAGAAATAGAAATATTGAAAGGGAGATTATGTAAAAGCTCAAAAATGCAGCTGAGCTAACCTGTGAGATCTCCCTGAGTGCATCCGTTTCATCATATCGCCGTCTATTATGTCGTCTACGATGAATAGGAGTAGAAACAATAATACGTTCCTCTAATTCATACATTGGGTCACAATTAAGACCCTCATTGCAAGGCACGAATACTGGGGCAGCACGTCTGAAAACTAGGGTTTTCGTCGTTGAGTAAACGAACTCTAGCCCATTATGTACCTGGCAAGAACACTGGCAAAGTCTATACGAGCAGTGTATGGATGTCGTTTGAGGGCGGCTAACGAGTCTATGCGACCTTCCGGCGCTGGATGAAGTAGAAGTCGCAAAAAACTCAACAAATCTGTCGGCCAGTGGGCCGGAAACGGAACGTAACTCTCACGTATCAATAATAAAACCTAAAATTATAATTTGTTTCTTGATTGGGTTTGTTAATTGCGTTTTGCCTTACTTGTTCGGCAGTGAAATGAGGACTAAACTCGTATGGTGTCCGACCACGCATCATTTCATAAAATGTCACACCTAAAGACCACCAGTCCACTTTTAAATCGTAGCCATCAATCAATCCCAAAGCACATGCGTACACCTCTGGTGCCATGTAGGGACGAGTTCCTATAGAGAAAAAAAAGTGACTTTTATTTTTCTACGAAACAAAAAACGCCCAAACCTGGATATCATTACATTACCTGAGTATGAGGTAGCAAGCTTATTTTCTTCGAGTTGAGTAGCAAGATTGAGGTCAGTCAAATGGGCATGACCTGCAAACTCGGCATAAAATCTCAACTACCCATTTTCGTAGAAAAAGCTACCTTGTTCGTCTAGCAGAATATTCTCCGGCTTGATATCCCTATGCATGATTCCCTTTCCATGTAAATAATCTATGGCCAAAGATATCTCACACATGTATAGTTTTGATCTGCAGTAAAAAATAAAGTCTTTTCCAAATATATATTATTTCAAAGAAAAAATGCACGCCGTGTTAAAGACTCTAATAAGGATATGCTTCACACCTATCTTCAGCAAATTTTCCTTGTTGATTAAGATGATAACGTAGATCACCACCGAGGAGCAGATCCGTGACCATGTACATGTAATCACGATCCTAAAATTAGTCAGAAACTTTTGAGGCAAATTATTTATTGTTCATTAAATGGAAGGATTTTAGGAAGTAATTTAAACGGTTTGTTGCTATAAGATCTTTAGACAATCTTTACTGGCGCGCACTGGCTCCGGTCCTAAAACTTCTATGTCAAATGTTAGCAAAAGTTATCGCCATCGACTATTGCGTTCCCTGCCTTGCAAGTCGAATTTGCCCGGAATTTTTGGATAAGCACTAACATGCAATACAGGGTGTCTTAGAACACTATAATCTACCACTTCTCACTCCTTACTTTTCGTCGCCTTTTCATGCAATTTACTCCGTATTTCTTTACTGCTTTATTGCTTTTTCACAATTTCCATATTTACATAAGAGAAGAAAATTGGAGGCCAAAATGTATCGCCTATGAAAAGCAGAAATGAGATATTTCAACTATTGAAAAATAATAACCTCCAACAAAAGCGCTCAGCCTCTATCATTCCCAGTGCAAACTTTGCCCTCTCCTTTCTGTAATTGTTTTCCTTGTAAATCTAGGGTTCGTGCTGTATAGTCTGTTTCTCCGAACCTAATCCGTAGCACTGTTTGGTTGTCAGCACATGAGCACAGTACTGCATGCTGTAGCTGGCTCTGGCGCCAAGCCACTTGGCAAACTTGTTTCGTTTCTCCTCATGTCGCTGCACATTCTCTGAGTACGTTCTTTTCTTAGCAAAGGAAAAAATTGTATGTCTTCAGAGAACGTCCCGTAAAATATATTTGTGCTGTAGTGGCAAAACAGCACCTGCAGATCAGGTACAGAGAAGCATACATAGTTCAGAAGAGGTTAAATTCAAAATAAAAAGGTACAAATCCAAGTCCACGGTATTCTGCATCCTTTAGACCAATTTAGTACTATGAACATGTGCTCAACATTGACATCGCGGTAAAGTGGCGTGCTTTTTGCAGATTCAACTATTTCTGCAGACTGTGCATTCTGTATTAGCAAGTAGCGATTACGACAATGGCTGCAATCTATGTGCCGCAACTGGCACTTGAAGCAGCACATTTACGCGCGCGAATGCAAGCTGTGCGTATGTAGACATGATGATTTCAAGTGCCAGCCCGTCGCACAAACCACGCTTCCCGCGAAAATTCAGAACTGTCATACAATGTTTCTGTGAATATTGCAGAACAGTAAATTTAATCGTATTTTTTGATTGTTCACCTTACCTGGAATGTGTACCAAAGGTTCACTATGAATGGATGGGATATCTTTCGTAGCAGACTCAACTCACGTAATACGTTTCCGGCTACTCCCTAAAAGACACTAAC